AGCAGCGTTGGAATAGTTTATATACATATATAATATATCAATCTACATAGTTCGCTCTAGAGCGAATGCTGACCAAAAGCCAAGCCAAGCCAAGTCAGACCGACCGACCGACAGTTAGAGAGAGACAGAAAGCACATTGTCATTTGATTTGTGTTGACGTTTGCATTTTCTACCTTAATTCAATTTAATTTTTACTCAGTTGAATTGCCGGGCTGGTTGTTTGTTTGGTTAGTTCATTGGTGGATGCCGCAGAATGAGCAGAGGCGAAAAGGGTATTAGGGTATTGTATTTAAACTAAGTGTCAAATTTAGCATTGCTGTCACACAGCCAACACGTGCTATGCTCACAGAAGCAACAGCAATAGAGCGACTATCAAATACCCTAGGAAATTGAAAATGCTAAAATTAAAATAATTTTTTAGGAAACTTAGGAAATTCGCATTCAATTGTCAAATATAGTTTATAGAAAGGTATATCTGACTATGACTATACCTCTACCATTCACAACTTATACCTGTATAATATGTTGATTATAAATACATTACATTCTATTTATTTATACCCACCATTGTAATCAAAAGACCATTTGATGTATTTACCTTAATGCTATCTTTCAAATCTTGCTCTCTGTCTATCGTCTGTCTGTCTGTTCGTCTGATAGACAAACGTTTGTGTTTTGCTCTTGACAAAATTTTTATTTCTACACGGCAAGAGAGTGAGACTGAGGGAGAGGGAGCTATCTCTGATTGTGCCAATAATTATGCTGCATGCAAACAAATAAAACTGTTCTTTGGCGTATACGACTAGAAGATATCCTGCAAACTGTGCTGTTGTCCATATATGTATACGTAGATTTAAAGCGCAAACTCTTTTCGTTAACAAAACAGTATTTTATATATTTAAATTAGAGTTTTTATCTTAAGGCGAATCTATAGCTCATCTATATAGAGAGTTAAATTAAATAGGCTCGTGTTGCTGATCTAATATATCAATATATATATGTATATATATATATATGCCTTTACCTACACACCGATTTCCTCTGCCCATTATATACTCACATCAAAGCGTATTACCCCATTTACCCACAACTGGCAATGAAATAGGAGAAAGAAAATCAAGTAGTGCTGTTGCTTTTTGGAGTCTACAACATTTTGCCATTGCACTAATTGTTTGTTGTTTACCTCGATGGCTCAGTTTTTCGCTCTAGTTTTGTTCTTCATTTTTTGATAAGGCGCTACAAGCGACGCCCACTTGACATGAACATTCTCTGAAACATAATTGACAAATTTGCACTTGAACTACTGTGCGATGTGCCTCAACAAATATAAATACAAATAAATATATTGATATAGGTATAGATATAGATTTTTACCTATGTGTGTACATACTCTAAATAATTTATTATTGAAATTTCAAAAGAATTTTTCCAGCTCGCACAGAATTTATAGGGTATGTATTTGCTTATCGGTCGCGAAAAAAAAATACACTTAGCGCTAATCAGCCATTGACCAGTAGATAAGAAATGAGCGCACCAAAAGGAAATCAACTTTAGCGCTCGATAATTAATCAGCAATTATTTATCAGTTCTATCGATATATTTGCCAACACCTAGGAAATATTGTGCAAGTCTCCTCTTATCACTAGCTTTAATCAATGTTCATTGATCAACATTGGACAGCAGACAGTTTGGCGAAATTTTATATTGTTATAGCGTATATGGTATATTTTTTGTATGATCTAAATCAATAGTCAGAGTCTGGCTAGACTCGAATCAAATTCAATTATTTCCTCTATTGAAATGTTTTTATATGTTTGACCCATATTGCAAAGCTAACGGCAATTTCTATCCATCTGTCTGTATGTCTCTGACCCACTCTTTCTCTCTGTTCCTCTCTCACTCATATTCTTTCATAATTGTTGAAATCTCGCTTCAAAACGTACTTTCTTAAAACACGCCTTTCTCTGCGATTTTCAAAATATCCAGCTAGGACCACACAAAATATTAATCAAATATATTTAAATATATGTATTTATAATAAGTTTTAATAAATAATCTATCTCTCTATCTTCTATATTACAATCTCACTTTGATCAATATTCATGTAAAATAAATTATAATTAATACTCGTTTTTTCTTTTACTTATAGGCAATCGGCCCTATTCAGGATGTGAGCATAAATATCGTCCATCGTGAATTGGTATACACCTTACCCTTCGATGAGCAGAATGAGAACTGGCGCTTCTACATGTGCATGAACTGCACGGACGTGGTGTTTGGGCGACGCTCCGAGGGTGAAACGCCGCTCAATGGCTGGTACATCAATGCGAGTCTGCGGTGCACCGAGAAGGATCTGATGTACAGATGCAACGACAAGTCCTATTCGGAAGCGTTTAAGATCCTGATTCCGGACTTTACAGCCCTGGCACCTGAGGCAGCTGAAGCGGCCGTAACATCCAATCCGTTCATTGACCCCACTCTGAGCGACAGCCTGCTGCAGCGCCTTAAGATACTGGAGAACTGTCACAAAGAGGGCGTGGAGGCCGAGATCAAGGCGACCACGGAGCGCGTCGAGCGGTACACGGATCAGCAGTTTGCGATGCTCAAGAGCTATCAGGAGAAGGAGAAGCAGGACTACGCGCTCCTGAAGCGCATCATCATGCAAGTACCTGACAGGGCGCTGCAGCTGCTCGACAATGGCCAGCTTGCTGCCCTGGAGGTAACGGGTGCCGGCAACGTCGGCGGGGGGTTGGGCATGGGAGCTGCAGCTTCTGCCCAGTCAACGTATGGGGCTCGACGCCGGAACACGATTAGCAGCCGCCGCGACTTGGGTATGCCGATCACACCGACCACGCCCTTGGTGGGTGGGCCGCCCAACTTTTTGGCGTTCACACAGGAGCCACAACAGCAGCAGCCGCAGCAGACGTCGCAGCCGCAGCCTCAGCAGACGTTGCAGCCGTCGCAGCCGCAGCCGCAGCCGCAGCAACAGCAGCCTCCGTTACCTAGCGCCACAATTTTGAGTGCGCGCAAAATGTCAAACTTTGATACACCGCCTGCCACACCAGAAGCCACGCCCATGAGCGTGGGCAACAGCCCCACCTTTAGGCAGCAGCAGCAGCAACAGCCCTCGGCATTGGCCAGCAACAGCCTGCTGCCGATGTCGCCGGCTGCTGCCGCTGATGATCCCGACGAGTGTCTATTTGATCTGGAGGATGTTGATGGACCACAAGGCCACACATCCCACAACTATCAGCAGCAGCAACAGCAGCAACACCACCAACAGCACCACCACCAATATCAGCGACTGCAGCAGCAGCAGCATCAACAGCTGCAACACCATCAACAGCAACAGCAACAGTTGCTAAATCAGCACGAAGACAACATGAGCGATGCAGATGAAGCAGAGGGTAAGTCAGCTGAGATGATGTGGGAGTTGAAAAGACTATATATATGTAATATGTATATGTAAGAGTTTCTATTGTATACCCAAGAGATTCCCCTGAAACTCTGCTTCGAATTGGAAGTTCTCTTAGCTATATTATGGTATATTGATATTCTCAATCAATTTATCAATTTATGATTCTATATATATCCCTCTCTCTTGTTACAGATGCTCTCGATTTGGATAGCTCAGTGGCCATTGCGATGCATGGAGGTAAAGGGCGAGGCTCTTCAACGGCGCAGATGCATTTTGCGAATTACGCACGGAGTCTGCCCGTTGAGATAGCCAATTCTCCGCTGGCGGAGCGTGCCAATAATAATAACAATCAGCAGCATGTGCTGCTCGAGGATGAGGAGGTGAGTACAGTGAATACTAGCTAAAAGAGAATATTATATTTAAACATTCTCATTCTCTCTCTCTCTAGGTGCTGGACAATACGGTGGATATTGCAGCTAGCATCAAGGCCTTGGCCAAGAGTGTTCATGGCGAGGCGGTGTTTGGTGACTTGCCACGCCCACGCTTGAGGTCACAGATCTAATAGAGGAGGGCAATGGAACCAACCACACCAACAACAACAACAACTACAACTATGTGCACCATAATTTGTTAAAGGAAAAGTGAGGAGCAGTCCTCAGTTGTTTATGCTAAACTAAATTAGTTTGCTCAAGTTAAAATTTGGACTCTTGAAGCGCCTTCATCCAACACATACACACACTCACACACCCACTCACGCATACTATGTGTATATGCATATATACACTCACATCAACACACCTGCATAGGCATATGCACCCTAAACATTTAATTAAGATACAAGAAAATCAAATATGTTGAAGCAAATTCATGTAATTTTTTCTCAATTATCATTTGGAAATACTTTCTGCTTCCCTTCTACATATATATATATATTTTCTGATAAGTGAAAATGTGTATTTTCTTTTGCAACGTATGAAAAGTGTCAACGGGGCTGTTGTTGGCCACCGTCACATTTGCAATCAATTAACTGATGATGTTGTTAGTTTATACAATGAATTAATTATATATCTCTATGCATACAAACTACAAAATACAAACAAAACAAATACAAAAAGTGCACACGAACCAAAACGTGGTTAACTGTAAACAAATTGTTTCTTTTTATTAAAATATCGAATTCTTTTGTAAATATGCGCAAATTATGCCATCAATCGGATATAGGAAACTGAAACTGGAATCGGATTTCGAATTGCTCAAGTTTTACCAGACACCCAAATAAAACAAACAAATTGTTTCCCATGCGTTACTTGGCTAATAATAAGAAGAGAGATCTTACGTGTGTAATTTATACTTGAAGAGGGCTACTGAAACTCTAGAAATCGTCGTAAATATTTATACAAGATTTATTTTTGTATTTGAATATCTGTGCAATGTGCAATTCCTTCAATGTATATCTGCTTACATAGAGGATTTTCTACATCCCTATAAAATATCCAAGATTATTATTCCTTAACTTTAATGTAGATTTTTTAAGAATTTCTCCTCCTAGATAAAACAACTAGATTGTTTTTTAGTCAATCCCAAGTTTCTTCTAATTTAATCGTTGATTTTTTGCACTCGAAAAGCAATGTATTAAAAGTACTAAAATGACCAACAATTTTTATTAAATTCAAAGTACAGAACGTGTGAAACTAATTAAAAATGAAGCGCCAATTGAGCAATTGGCTCGATGTAACCAAAATTTGACATGTCCATGGTTTTGCGACGGCCGAGAAATGAATTGCCAGCTCCGCGAATATGACTTGCCTCAATTATTGGTCCACTGATCCCCTCGACCTTGCTCTAAAGAGTGCCACGATCAGGATAATCCATGGGATTTGCGACTGCGGGCTGCGCGAGCTATTGATCAAAATTAGGTTATCAACAAGCTTCTGCAGCCAATTTTGAGAGTGTGCCCTCATTTTTGGAAATCGTTTTATAATTTCTTCTCTGAGCTGACTTGGCTAATTTCAAAAGTATTCTGAATGTGCTTTTGAGATACGACCAAATGAATGTGGAAAATGAATGTGATACAAAAGAAAACAGGCCTACTAAGAGATGCTATTAATAGCTCGATCGTAGAGCTATCTCTTTCTCTCTAAAATAACAATCCTTAAATTTAAATTGATAAAGAGAAACTTTAATATAATTCCAATACTTATACTTTTCATAGTTTATAAACATATTTATATTTTTTTTAGTATTTTTTGTTTTTGGAAAATCTACAAATCGCGTTAACAAATCATTTTGTTGCTATTACGATATTTTGGGGCAGTTGGACTAAGTTGACATGCAGTTGGCATAACTTATAACTAGGGGACTACGACTTAGTACTAAGACTTAAGGTTTAACTTTACAAACTTAGAGGGCTGTCAGAGCCAGGCTTTAACTTTAAAAGATGGCCGACAGGCGTTCGATCTCGAGCAGATCGGCGAGTATCTCCTCGGTGCGAGTGCCAATCTTCTTGGCCACCTCGCTGCGCTCCGAGTGGGCCAGCATGCGATAGGACCATATAAGATCACCATCGATGATGCAGCGCGATGGATTTATGCCCATTTTCTTGACCGTCTTTATCGTACGATACTCCTTGGGATTCAGGCCGCACAAATGATCCTGATAGGAGAGTAAAACGTTCTGCAGCATAAGGAAGCGTCGATAGACCTTCTCCGGCAGGGGCAAACAGTATCCGAGGGCTCCGTCGAGCGTGCCATAGATGACAAAATGCTTGTTCTCGTAGAGGAAAGGCTGGCGCTGATGCAGACCCCGTTGATGGCACTGCACCCGGAACATCGTATTCACCACCTGGCCGAGATGATAGTCCGCTTTGCGCAACAGCTTTTGTCCGCCCAGAGACTCGCGCGCTTCCGGCTGGTACATATAGACAATTATATTGCGTTCCGCATCCGTGACCAGGAAGCCCAAATTCGAGTTGTCGACCATGAATTCGATGCCAAATACCTCGAGGGGATTGAAGTCGCGCGAGGCCAGCGACAGAGTGCGGTACTCCTCCTGGAAGCGCAGCAGACTGATCGATTTGTAAACATCCGCAATGAAGATCAGCGACTTAACAGTAATTATCTGATGCACATAGATGTTCGTGTCGATGAAGGCGACGCCAATGAGATCGCCATCGCGCAGCTGCCAGATGTAGATCTTCTGGCCGAGGCCTGTGACCAGGAAGCCCACCACATCGGAGATGGCCGAAACAGGTCCCTTCTGCTCCTTCTTGAACACCTCCTTGAGCTTGAATTTGGTCATCGGCTTGCCGGGCTCGGGCACCACCTCAATGATATCATAAATGTGGATATTGCCGCGACTGGTGATGTCTTCGCTGTAGTTGAAATTGGTGCCAATGCAGAGATATTCCTTCAAGCCCGATCGTGTGCCCTCATACGAGAGCTTCACTAGCTTAAAGGCCGTCACATGTTCCCATGGCTCAAACTGTATCGAAGCATCCGGCACAATCTCCCACGTCTCGGGACTGATCAAGACCATTTCGAATAGCGAACCAATGGGGTAAATGAAGCGTTCGCCTCGACTCTCCTCAGAGAGTTCCTTGTCCTCGCCGTTGAAGCGATAATATTTGGTCATCGGCTCCTCCTTCTGTGTGATCAGGCAATAAACTCGATTCTCCCGATGATAAACCAATTGACGAGGCGTGCAGCGCAACGGAACCTTTCGCACCGGCCAGGCGGCATCGTAGCTCAAATAGGTGGGCAGCACTGAGATCTTCAGCTCATAGGTGGTATCGAAATAGAGAAAGCCATGCGGAATATTCACATTATTAAATGCGGCAAAGCTGCGAACTTCCGCATTGCCCAGCAGTCGATGAATGCGCAGCTCGCCTCGGGCAGTCAGGAAGATGAAACAGGGATTCACGCCGCACACCATAATCCCGGCCAGGCCGCCCACGTTGTTAAAGTAGCGTAGCTTCTGTACATATTTCGGTTGCATATTGTACGACTCGGCCTCGTCCGTCTCCTCCTCATTGATCAGTTCAATGTGCGTGGGCTGTTGATCGAGTAGATGCAGCTGCTCCAACTTACGGAAACGTATCTTCAGATGTCCCTTGGCATAACGAAAGACCTGATAGATAAGCAGCTCCAATCGGGTGCGCACCAGCAACAGTGGTCTGTCCCCATGCTGACCCAATCCCACGAGGCTGAGCTCGAGGGGCAGCGGCGAGTTCGCATGCTGTGGCATACACGCATGCAAGATGCCCGCTTTGGAGTTCTCTTGCGTCAATGAAATCGGAACGAATTCCATCGCATCAGTGAGCACTAGTGCGCCATTGCCCACATCGTTGACCAAATAGACGAGCTTCATGTCCGGCATCGAATAGATCTCCAGCGTGCCGCTTTGTCGGGCCACAACCAGCCAATAGCTGGGCTTCGCCTGCACAAGCTGGCGTCGCCACCAATCTGTGTTCTTCTGCTTCGATTGCTTGGCCAGATCGGCCATGCTGTTCAGTTTGAAGGCATTGCCCGCATCGCCGTATAGCAAGTCCTCCTCGTCCTCTACTTTCATATGCGGCTCGGCCTTCATATAACCGCCAAAGCTGTTGGCGAATCCCGCTCCCGTGCTTCCTGTCAAATTTAGCACATCGTCCGCTTTGCATGTGAATAGTCCGGATAGATCCTTGTACGCCGCTATCGCCACCACAGCTGGCGCACTGCTGATCGTGTGCTTGTTAATGGCCAAGCGAGGAGTGCCTCGCGTCTCGCGCAGCGCCAGCGTAATCACCTGACCGTTGAGCACACGCAGACAGACATAGGGATCGGCAATGGACACCTGCACCACGGGAGAGCCCACATCGATGGGCACGTTCTGGATGAGTCGGGTGCCCTGCAGCAGTCGCACATGGCGGGTCGTCACCTGAGTGGAAACGGAATGTGAAGTTATTGAAGGATAGAGAGAGCAAAGATGATATGTTCTTACCTGCACTATAAACCGTTGCTGGCCGAGATTGCCGACATATATGGTCGGCTGGTTGACGGTGAAGCCCGTGTTCTCGATCTCATTGATCTCCTGTCCCGTTTGCAGCACGAGCGTCGAGGATCGCTGTGAGAGTAGCATAAAATCGTGTTGTTCCTGGCGAGCCGTTGATGGCTTTCGCGTTGCATCATCAAAGACTGTCCACACATCTAGACAGCCATCCAATTCGAAGCTGGTGATGATCTGTGGATTGATGCAGTTCACAAAAACAGAAAGGGCACCATTTTTGCTGTGTCCTGTGGCGGCGACAAGCTCAATCTTCAGGTCGGTCAAGGACTCGGCATGTGGACGCAATGTTGTGCCATCCTCTTCGAACTCCACACGCTCGCCGGCGCACATGTAATTGATGGGAGCCACATTGATCAGACTGTCGCAGACCTCGAAGATGAATTTACGTAGCTGCAGCACCGAAGCTTTGGCACCTGACCCATATACCTCCAGTTCTTCATCCTCAATGCGACGTGACTTGGCTTGTGATGGCGCCTCATGCTGTTCCACATCATAGACCTGGTCCTCATCCATTTGGGTAGGTGACTGATCAATCGCCTGCTGTTGCTGTTCCCCTGCACCTGTAGCTGCCGCAGCTGCTGCTGACTCCACGTCATCCAGGGTAATCACTGTGCTCTGATCCTCCTCGGTGAAGTGTAACAACAGCGAGTTGCCCAGCCGAGAGCCGAGAAAAATGTATTCCGTGTGGCAGACACATATGCAACTAGTGAGCACGCTGGCTGCCGCCTTGTGGAAGTGGAAATTTCGCACCGTTCGCATGGAGTCGACACAAAGGGTCAACACATACAGATCTCCCGTGCGCAGCGATATAACCAACTTGTCCACATCAATGAACGCGAAATTCGCACAGTCCAAGCTCAGCCGAACATTGTCCTGCGGCTTGAGGGGAAAGCTGGTGCTGTTGTCCGCTGAGCTATTCAAGCTAACGCCATATGGCGGCACGCTCTGGTTCAGATAGATAACCGCATTCACAGTCATAACCAAACATCCACCGATGGGCTTTTGTATGGGGAAGACATGCAGGCAATCGTACGGCAGACTATTTACCGTCCAGATAATGGGATGCACGCGTTGCTGTATGTTCAAGGAGATGGCCACCAGAACACAGGTGTCGGAACGCACCTTAATGCGACCCGCACAAGTTCTCACCGGCTCGTAGAGTATAAGCAGAGTCGGTTCATAATATCCATGCAGAAATTGTATGTCCAGCACATTGTCCAGCTTCTCGTCGAGATCAGCTAGAGCTATCAAATAGGAAGCCATAATGGGCGTTCGTGATACCAATGCCGTGGGCGCTTTCTTAATGGGCTTAACATCTGCTAGCTCGATCTCATCGAGACTGTTGTCCTTCCGAAAGGGCAGCACCACCAAACGCTTGCCATAGACAAGCATTATAGCACACCTGGCATCTGGATCCACTCGCACCACAGGCACATGATAGCGCCCCGTCCAGCCGCCTCGAATGTCATCTTCCTCGAAATAGTGCAGCGAGAGTGTTTTTAATGTTTGCGTGTCTGCATCCAGCTGTAGCACCGAAAGTTTTGCATCCTTAAAGCTCACAAGCAAAGCATCTCGCATTCCACCAGCCAATGAGACGCTTTGCAGCGACATCACATTGCCATAGAGGGAATAGCTGGCTAGACATTCGAGACGCATTTTAGGCGCCAATCGCATTTCGCTTGGATTCAGTTTCTGCCGCTGCGTCGCATCCACGTTGGGTGCAATACGGTAAACCTTGAGCACATTGGCGCCGGCGACGACCAGATTCTCCTCCACATTGTTGAAGAAGCGGCACGAGATGGCGAATTCCACTGATGTGGCCGCGTGTGTCTGTTTGCACATAGAAAACATATTGGTGGGTTTATGAGTGATAATTTAAATAAAACAACTAATTAAAACATTTCCCACTCAGCGATAAAATTAAAATATCTGCCGGCGTTGTTTACATCTGTTTGTCCATCTGCAAAACTATCGATAGTTGCTCCCTTATGGATGGTAAGATCTCGATAGGTTAAACGGGTAGAAATGACAAAAACGTTACACACAGGAATGTGAGAAAACTGTCATTTTAATTATTTGTACTATCTTTATTGTCGGAATTTAAATGTATTAATTACACTATCTAACAACTAACACATTTGCAGACTATCGATCTATTGCTGCAATATAAAATAGTAAATATCCATTTGTGTTAATAAAATCTGAATTACCCATATTGAGCCTATCTCGACATATATCACATTATATGAATATCGATAGCTTTGGAAAACAACAAGTTTGGTCACTTTAGAGATGTAAGCAATATCGATAGATGGCAATTAGCAGCTCTAGTTCTAGTGTAGTGCAGTTTTTAACATCCCTATTGCTCTCAAACTGGGGGCCCAATAACTTTAATTTAACCATCAAATAAATAGGCTTTGAATATTAGAATGTGAAACGACAAATGTGTGTTATATATGTTTAGTCTTTAGTGTACAATATAACAACAATTTCATTCAATTAACTGGAAGCTATTTCCTTTTTTTTGCTGCGTAGCTTCTCTCCGTGTGCGTAACAAAGACAGCGGTTGGCGTTTAGCCAAGGCATATGTAAACGCTTGCGTAAGAAAGAGTCGACGCCATAGAGCACAAGAAGCAGAAAAAGAATCCAAAATCTTGTAGCTCTCTGCTTCTGCTTTTGTTTGTGTCTTTGCAACAACCATTCAATATTTTATTTGTTTTTTAACTCGGTGCACAAGAACTGATATTAATCAAGTTGAAAGTGTGGGTGCAATTTGAACTACTGCTGGATAAAACGTAATTAACAAAAGCCAAAACAAACCACGCAAAAAGTTTTTATATGTGCGTGCATGCGTGTGTGTGCGCATTATAATTATATGTGTATGAGTGTGTACGTGCATGTGTAGCATACATCTGTATTATTCCTGCAGGGGCAAAAGCAACAAACCAACCAACTTTGCTTTGCTCTCTTTTTAATGTTGTTGTGTTTGTTATTGTAGGCAACAAATTCACGGCGGACACACACACACACACATCTATATTAAAATATATATATGTATGTATGGCTTTAAAAAGGAAAAGGCAAAGAGCAGCAAATGAAAATTAGCGTGTATAATAAATGTGTGTGTGAAAAGTGACTGGGCGTAAGGGTTTTTATAGTAAAGGTAAAACAAAACACGGACCAAAATAATTGTTGTAAAACTGTTGTTGTTTTTTGAGGAGGCAAAATTTAATTGCCGCCCACCCCAGCGCCTATTGAAATGGCTAAGACTGCTGCTGGCCAGGTGAGTTGGGTTATTAATTGAAAATGTACATTTTTCTAATATATTTTTATTTTTTCTAGTATGTTCGTAAAAAGCACTTAAACTGCCGCCTGATATGGACCCAATAACAACAATAACATTGATACGAAACATTGAAACATTGCTGAGTCGAATTGTAAATAGTTAAACAAATATATATATATGAATATGAAAACGATAACGCCGGATACATTGACATCCGCATCAGCCGCGYCGCAACATCATCAGCAGCAGCAGCCGCAGCCTCAACATCAGCAGCAGCTGCAGCTGCAACAACAACATAAGCAACATTTGCCCGCCATCATTCCGCAACAACACATAACACCTGTGATTATGGAAGCAACAGCGCATGTGAATCTCGTGGATGATGACGACGAAAAGGATCCACTGGCATTGGAGCAGACAACAGGTATCGAAACGCCACAGCAGCAGCAACAGACGCTCAACTCAACATTGGCGAACAAGCACACACATAGTCTGAGGTTAGCAGCGTGTTTATCTCTTAATGGAATGCATGACAATATGAATATCTTCCATTTTCTGTCCACAGGCGCCACCTGCCACGCATCATTGTGAAACCTATACCACCTGAGAAGAAGCCAACGCCACCCAGTGAGGATGCATTGCTTAATGCTGGACTCCAGCCAGCGCCAGCGTTGTTTGTACCACCAAGCATAGCCTCGACAACAGCAGCAGCAACAGCAACAGCGTCCACAGCGGCTGCTGGCACTGTTGCAGCACCTGCGCCCGTGCGTGGCATAAGCAGTCGTCGCATACAACAACAGCAACAGGCCAAAGCAGCTGCAGCAGCAGCAGCGGCGGCGGCGGCAGCAGCAACAGCAGCGGCGGCAGCTGCAGCAGCTAATGCAAATGCGACTGCATCACCGGGCAGCGGTAAAGCCGCCACACAAACATCTACAATGCGTGAGGTGTTGGCTTCGATACCGGGCTTTAGTGTGAAGCCGCGTCGTCGCAGTAACAAAAAACTCACGACAGCCGCGCAAATCGAACAGACAAAGGATGGCAAAATCGATTTGGAAACACCAGATTCCATATTGGCATCGACGAATCTGCGCGCGCTGCTTAATAAGCAAACGTTCTCATTGCTGCCGCCGCTGTATCAACATAATCTCATACAGTTGCTGCCGAGCGTGGATCGTGAGGCCAGTGAGATTGTGCAACAGCAACAACAGCAGCATCAGCAACAATCATCGCAGTCAGAGCAACCAAGCACCAGCGGCAACACTACAGAAGCAATTCGATTGAGCGCCTCCTGCCTGAATAATGAGTTCTTTGCGCGCGCCTGTTTGGAGTGGCGAGAACGGCTCAGTGAAGGCGAATTCACACCCGAAAATCAAATGAAGCTGAAAACGGAAGCGGAACGCGAAAAGAATAAGTTAGATCCATGGAAGGTCAAGCATTTCGAGCCCTATTGGGGTGAGAAGATTGCGAAACGTGCGCCGAATCTAAACCCGCCTAGTAGCAAAATAAAGGTAGAGCCGATTAGACAACAGCAACAACAGCAGCAACAGCAACAGCAACAACAACAACCACCAGCTGCGGCACCAGCACCGGCACCACCACCACCACCACCAATAACAACATCAACAACACAGCAGCAGCAACTACAACAAGCAACATGTGATAATGAGACTGAACTGAAATTTAATACGGTAAATTAGAATGCGAATTAGATAGTTTCTAACTTTATAATTAAATTATTGCCCTAATATATTACAGAGCACAAAGTGCGAATCGACAACCACAACTACCGAAGCAACAACAACCGCAACAACTGACGGTGTCGCACCATCAGCAACAGAAGCAACAGCAGCAGCAGCAACAAGAACAACAGCTGCTGCAACAGAAACAGCAATCAGTAGCAGCAATGCTTTAACGGAGCAACAGCGACGCCTGTTAAAGCGATCGTCGAGCAGCCCCTCGCGACGCAAACGCAGCAGTTCGATCAATATGGCTGACGAGCAGGAAGAGCTGCCCAGCACGTCTAAAGAAAGCAAGCAAATGAAACGTGAACTAGCTGATATTGTTCCTAATAATGCCATGGCGAATGTGACAGATGTTGTTGATCATGCAGTAGTAGCGGCGACAACAACAACAACACCTGCAAYAACTAACAATAGCCAGCAGCCACTTATCAACAGTACCTGTGATAAAATTGAGACACCTGATGCACAGACAACAATAGTAGCAATATCAACAACGACAGTGACAGCGACGCCAGCAACCTCAACAATCACAAATGCAATACCAACAGCTGCAGCAGCAGCAGCAACAGCAGCAGTAGTAGCAACATCAACTATAGCAGACCCAATCAACAATTTTGCAGGCTATTTGCAAAATGTAGAGATGGCAGAAGGTTCGTACACTATAATTAACACAAAAGTTTCGTATATTTCATCGACAATTTTTGTTATTATTTAGATACCAAAGCAACAGATAATATTGCGACCGAAGCAACCGCAACTGCCCCAACAACGACAAACAGCCATGATTTTGTATTTGCCGATACGATTGATCATGGTAAGCTTCTTTTGACTATTTGAAATGCTAACTGAAAGATAATTAATATTTAATTAATTAAATGGTTTTGGTTATTTGTATATTTTGTTGCTTGTTTTTATAGTAGTTAAGTGAATATATATATTTTGTTTGTGTATTTCTTTGGATTTTGTATTTTTTTATTGTATGTTACTCGAATTGTTAATTAAGAATCATTTGGTTGGATATTCTTAATATATATATCATATTATATACTCTTCATTTGTTTGTAATAATTTGTTACTGAAATTCAAAATTGTTCTTTAAACATCAATAAATGTTTATACTTTTGCATTTACGAACTATTTGGTATATAATTATTTCAAAATTTCAATTAATTTTGTATATCACTATTTATATTGGACATTTATTTTATAACAATTTAATATATTTCATATTACTTATCAATTATTATGAAAACTTACCTAATGCCTTTCCATCTCTTGCTTCAATGCTCGTGCTCCATGCAGCCTACTTCCATGATCACCAAGCAGCCATCAGCCACGCCTACTACTCATCATCATCATCGCCCAACTGTAATACATTTATATATATTTTTAGTTGTTATCAATGCTTTAATTCATTCTGGTTTGTTTTCAATAGCGACAGCAACAATCATCAAGCTGAACGATCATTGTGATAAGCAGCTGGAGGACTCGGGAATGACTCTAGCTATGTCCATGCCCTTGGCTAGCAGCTCGACAGGCACATCACTGGCCAATACAACGCCTACTAGTTCGCTAGCATCCAGTAGTTGCACATCCTCTTCGTTATCATCATCGCTCTCCTCGTCCTGCTCCAGCAGCAATTCTTCCTCAACGGCTCCGACCACGACGACAGCGGCGGGAGTAGGTGCTGCAGCTGCGCCTCTATCACTGGGCACACCGGCGGAAACAACGTTGGCCAACATGCAGGCCATGCTCAGCACGGTGGCCACGCTGCAGCAACAACAGCAGCAGCAGGAGCAACAACAGCATCAACAGGTGGAATTGCCAGTGGAGTTAAACTCAAGCGAGATGTTTCAAAATGTGCAGCACGATTGGAATTTTGGTGGCATCAAATTGCTGGCAGCAGCACCGACGCAAGGATCGGATAATTCTGTGGAGCGGCTGCACCATCATCAGGTCGAGCAGCATCTGAATCATGAGGATATCCAGCTGATGGATGTGGTGCATGAGCCCGAGGAGGAGGAGGAAGAGGTGATCGACGATATGGTCGAGTGTCACAATCTGCTGGACAATGATGAAGATGAAGAGGAAGGAGAAGAAATTGTAGACGAGGATGATGAGGATGTGGTGGAGTGCATCGAAGCGGAGCAACCGGATCAGGATGATTTAATGAACGAAATGGTGGAACACGTTATGGATGTCAGCGGTGGCGATGCTGTGCAAGATATTGTGGACAAGCTGCAGCAACAGCAACAACAACAGCAGCAACAACAGCAGCTGCAGGCGCAGTTGCAGGATGTTGTGCAATTGACGCAGCATTCCTTTATGCCGCAGGCCCACAGCAGCGACTTTGCAAATGAGGTAAGTCATCGACACATCATCAAGTCATCAAATAGCAGTTTCATTCTAAATCCATTCACAGATTTCCCACGAACTGCTTTGTGATGCGGTGCCCATGTCTGCTGCCGAAATGGAAGTATCCAGCACAGTCATCACGAACAGCAGCAACAGCAATGACAGCAGCAACAATTTGAGCCTGTGCAGCAGCAGTAGCAGCAGCATTGCCATCAATCAGTTGGCCCCACAGCCAGCTGCAGCTGCGACTGCTGCTCCGGCGCCGCAACAACAGCAGCGTCAAATTTTGGTAGATTCGAATGGGCAAATCATAGGAAACTTTTTGCTGCAGCAGCAACAACAACAGCAGCAGCAGCAGCAACAACAGCAGCAGCAGCAACAGCGTCAGCAGCAGCAGTTGCAACAACAGCAGCAGCAATTGCTGCAACAGTTTACATTACAAGCAGCCGCCCAGCAACAACAACAACAACAGCAGGCAACCAGCAGCAATTCGATACATAAAGCGCTGCCTGTGACCTTACGCAAACCCTTCGAGATCAATACCAATGGAGCACAGCAATTCTTAACACCAAATTTACTGCAGCAACAGCAGCTAGAACAGAAGCAACAACAACTCCAACAATTTGCACTGCAGGCGCAGTTGCATCAGCGTCAACTGCTGGCCCAGGCAGCCAACAACAATCTGCTGCAACAACAACAGCAGCAGCAACTGCAGCAGCAGCAAACCTATCARCAACAACAGCAAGCTGTGGTGCCACCGAAGTTCATAGCCAAGCCACTGAACATCATATCCATGACACGACCCGCCAATGCGTCGCCCAATGCAGCAGCCACAGCATCAGTGCCCACATCAGCCACAAATAATTCCCAAATTCCGTCCAGCTATGCAAATGTTGTAACATCGCAGCAGCAGGTYAATCACAACAGCAACCTGCAGCAGCAGCAACAGCAGCAACAAACACTGCAACTGCAACCCGTTGCAACAGTTAACAATGTGCTGACCATGAAAACGTTGCCTCCTTCGGGAGTGCCCACAACCATTGCCCAGCAGCGACTGCAGCCAAAGATGCCCACGGGGAAGGGGCGTAAGGCGACAACTAATCGTTTGCCACCGGGAGCTGTCAACCTGGAGCGAAGCTATCAAATCTGCCAGGCTGTCATACAAAACAGTCCGAATCGTGAGAACCTCAAGGCACAGCTGCGCCCGCCAGCGGCCATACTCAGCCAGCAGCAGCAACAGACGACGACAACGCCAACAACTGCAGTGAGCAGCAGCAATGCAACACTTAATGTGTCCACCGTGGCAGCCACGCCCTTAAACAATGTGCCGGCAGTAGCGACCGTCGCTGTGTCAGCACCAGCACAAAATCTGCTCAAGCAGGACGAGCTGCCAGCCCTGCCGCCCAATGTGCTGGGCGTGGGCAGACCGGGCGTCTATAAGGTAAGTTGCTACGGTTACCCATCAATTAGAATCTCTTAACTAATATAGAGAACAAATTCTTGATCCAGGTCATAGGTCCGCGCATGAGTGGCTTTCCCCGGAAGAAGTACGTGCAGCGCAAGCCCTCGCCCACAACTGTGATGCGGCACTTGCTGTCTGCAACGCCTGGTGCGTCCAGTCCACAGCAGCAGCAGCAACAGTTGGTCACGCAACAGTCCGGYCAAGAGCAGCAGCAGCTGTTGCATCAGAATGGCACGGGGCAATATGTGCTGGTACATCGCGCCAATGTGGGCGCAGCCGACAATCAAGCACCGCGGGCTTCCAGTGCACCGCCTTTACATCAAAATCAGGTGAGTAGTAGAGCTTACTATAATTAAACTTGGCTAACAAATTATTTCATTTTCATCAGTTTGTTGCCGTTCAGAATTCGCTGCACAGCCTTAATGGCATTAGCTTGGGCGGACGCGGGCGTCCGGCTTCAGTGGACAACAACAATAGTGCCGGCAACGATGCAATGCATCATAACGAGTTGCAACAACAGCAGCAGCAGCAGCAGCAACAGCAACTCAGCAATGTAAACGCGGCTGCGAATATTGTGCGGCGCAATATTGCTGCAGGTAAATTGGTGTATTATTAGTGCTTAGCGAGGTACGTCTTTCAAATCACCCCACACACACACACATCAAAAATTTGAATTCATTCATAAATTGGCACGTCATCATATTAATGCATTATCATACTAGATTTGTTAGATATATCAACTATTTGGCAAACAAAAAACAATATCTCCACATTGACTCATTCTTTTTTCTGTTTCCACGTAACCCTTCTTAGCGTATGCGTAACGAGTATGTAAACTGCATGCTTTTATTTTCAATTTATATGCATTCACAGATTGATTATTACATAAGAGTAAATATTTTAAGCATATGTGAAAATTATATAATTGCCAATGATTCATAGTGTTAGCAGGAAAAAGTGAAAATTTTATAATTGATATTTAGATATTAATCTATACTTATTGTCAGCTCAAAAATTTAAATTAAAATGGTATAATTGTACAGTTTTTATCATACCTACGTTTTTTATTCAGCAGGCTTCATTTTTTGATATAACAATAACAGACCCAAGGAAGCATAATTTACAAAAACTCTTACATTTATCAATTCTCTAACGATTTTATTCCTTATTCCCTTATTCCCTTTAATAATATAATAGAAATTTCCATCAATAGCTGCTTAACGAATTCGACTTTATTCAAGAATCTACAAAGAATTTATTTTCTGAAAAAAATTAAATATTAATAGTATAGTAGTATATAGTATTTGGAAATAATGTAAAATAGAAATTTTTGATTTTCATTAAGCTGCATATATACTAGCTCTTAGTATCCTCAACTGTGAATGCAGCAATTATATTAATGTATCTACGATATTGATCATATTTTTTATAATTTTGGAATATACAGTAATATATAGTGTATAAAAATAAGTAATTTTTCAGTTAAAAATCGTGTTGTAACTAATACCGTGGTCCACTTTTAATAGGTACCAACATTACCTACATAGACAACAGCAATTCGTCGGCAACTCTCATGGAAGCGAGCAATAACTACATCGTGACGACTACAGCAGCAACAACAACGGCTGCCGGAGCTGCAGGAACGACGCAGCAAACAACACAGCAACAGCAGCCACAACAACAGCATGCTCTAATCCAACTACATCAAAGCGGCGAGAACACTCCGCCAGGTAACGACGCGACCAACAATGGTTGTGCCTGTGCTTTAAACGCGATGGTCATTTGCCAGCAATGCGGCGCATTCTGTCACGATGATTGCATCAGCGCCTCGAAGTTGTGCGTGTCCTGTGTGATCAGATGAGAGCTAAGCCTCCAGATGCAACTTGACAACGTATTATAGTAATATATAGAGTTAAACCCATTTAGATGCAATGCTAATGCTATATTCTGTATATACATACATATATATATATATATACCTACATATTGAATGGCATGTCGAAAAATCAGTTCGAGAAAGCATGAGTATACATTGTTAAATACCAATCACTCCTTTTTTACCCAGACAATTTGTAAGCTAGACTATGGAAGCGAAAACCCAATTATAAATACCAAGTGCAGAGGCTTAGATACACCGAGAGAAAGAAGAAACGAAAGCTAATGCTGATAAACGCTTAGACGAAAAGCAAATACCTTTTGTATAAAGAAAGTAGCTATAAAACAAAGCTTAATAATCAAGCAAGTGTTGTGTATTACGTGCATGCTTCGTACCTTTAAGGAAGGGGTATTACAGCTGCACAGAAAAATTTAAAAAAAAAACAAAACAAAAAAAAACACTCATTGTAATTTAAACAAAACAAAACAAAACAAAAACAAAAAGGCAGCGGCAAAAGCAGCAAATAAAACCAATAAAATCCAAGCTATGTAAATATTTATGTTTAATATTAATTGTAATTTATAAATTAAAAATATCATATATACACATTACACATTATGTGTATATATATGACTATGTGTAATTATGTTTAAGCTAGAATTGAGAAAAACTTCAAACTTAGGTTGACATATGCCTGAAGACTATATTTTTCTAATTTGTCGCAGCAGTTGATTCGTTTTTAATCAAATACATAAGCAACTACATTATATTCATACATGCAACTACAATACACATACATTTACATAACATATATATTTTACTGTGTAATTTTTCGTAAACCTAAGCTCTTTTTATTTCCCTAATTCTAAGTTTATCATCCCACACAATCCACAGATAAGAAAAAAACAAAAAAACATCTCTAGCATACACATAATATAGCGCATAAAATTAATTGTAATTCGCATATAAAAAATTGATTTAAATGCATAAAACTGTTGATAAAAGAAAAACAAAAACAAACACACAAATATACACTGCAACAACAAAATATAAATGTTAATTGAGAAACTAAAATGCAATTTAAAAAGAAAACAAATATTATATAGAGATGAGGAACAAAATTTAAAAAGAAAGTAAAACAAAAATCATTTTGCTCCTAGATGCACTCAAAATTAACCAATAAACATTATTACAAATAAATTGAGAAAAAAAAAAATCAAAAATAATTATAGACCTATATTTACGGGGGTATCCTGAAAAATGCTTATGAATTCTTCAGATATGTTTACATTTATGGTTTATTTAAGGAAGAATACGTTTAATTTTAACAAAATGCTTTTTATTTTTAACTATAACAAAGAATTTAGTATTTACAAAGGCAATGTAAATGTGCCAACCACTGTAGCAACAATTGTGGACACCTCTGCCATGGCCCCGTTGCCGGTATCGCCACACATAAGAGTTTTCGATATACAGGGAATCTCTTTATACCCCCATTTAATTAGTTTGTCAATCTGCTCGCGCGTAATGGGATGATCGTACATGCGTGTATTCATGGCCGGTGCAAAGAAGAGTGGCTTCTCCAAATCCCAAGCACGAACCACGCACAACATCAAATTATCGCAAATACCCTGTCATAAAATATATTTGATAATAATGTTTAGCTAATGTTTAACGAAAGATAAGTTCATCTTACGCTGGCTATTTTGGCTAGAGAATTGGCACTGAGTGGTGCAATTAACATAAGATCGGCCCACTTTCCTAGGTCAATGTGTAATACCGGATCGCCGCGTTTATTCCAGGTGAGCCACTCGTCTCGGTTATGTAAAATGGGCACATGCTCCGGCACCTCCTCCAGTTCAAAAAAGTGCTTCGCATGCTCCGTTATGATGACTTTAATCTGGTTAAAATATATACAGTTTGTAAGTGAACAGAAAGAGTGGAAGCATAGCGAGACTTACATTAAATTTGTAGGGCAGCTTGTCGTCGCTGAATTCGGATATCATTTGCACCATCTTAATGGTGGCCACGCTGCCTGTGGCTGCAATTAAAAGATTGCGTTCCGGCTTCATTGCTATTGTTGCTGTTCTTTCACTGTCGGTTGTTCCTTTTCCGGAAAGCCCAGTTTCGCCCATTCTGTTTTTTCCATAAGATTGTTTTCCATGCGACAGCCCAAATACTCTTTTGCTTCAGCCCGGCACTTGGAGTTGTCGTTGTCGTTGCGGCGCAAGCAACTGGCGTAAATCAAGAAGTGCTTCTTACACAAGCTCTCGTGATCTAACGGAAAGCTGCCCTTTTCTGGCGCTGTGGGTATGAACTTCTTTTGATTGTAAATCTGTGAAGTCATTTGAGTATCTTGCTTATCTTATGGCCTTCATAAACGATCGTGAGGAAATTATGAAATAGATAAAATGTAAATATAGAGCCAGTAAAAACAACTGTGAACTTCAGTGGGTTGCCAGACTTTAAAAATTGTAATGAAAGTGGCAGCACGGTAAAAACAGCTGCTGGTATATACAAATTTTCTTCAAATATATTTTTTCTTAAATAGTATTGTTGAAGAAAACCCTTTATCTTGAATATTTACAATAATTCTGGTATTATTAAATTAAATATTTAAGTCATTTCTATATTATTAGTATTGTTTATATTGGTAGCAGCCCATTTAATTATTTATTGAATGGAATATTAATATCCATTACAAAGGCTTATCTTGCATTTACGATTAAACTAAATAGTTGGAAAAATTCTTTTTAAATTAAAATATATATCAGCTATTTAAATTGCCAAATATCTGTTTAAGCTTTGAAAAGTCTGGCAACGCTGTACACGAAGCCGGCAGAATGCAGTGGCTTAAATTGTTAATTTATTTTATTTCAATACTAATATTAAATACAAATGCCGAATTTGAACGCGATCCCAATGGGTACATTGCCTACTGTCCCTGTATGGGTAAGTTAAATCAGAACTTCCTGTTTATTTGATTAGTTTAATTTATTGTTTGGCCTTTTCAGGACGCTTTGGTAACCAGGCGGACCATTTCTTAGGCTCGCTAGCCTTCGCCCAGGCTCTAAATCGGACATTAATTTTGCCACCATGGGTAGAATATCGCAAAGGTGAAATGCGCTCCCGTCAGGTGCCTTTTGACACATATTTCGAGGTGGAGCCGCTGCAGGAGTTCCATCGCGTAATCCTCATGTCAGACTTTATGGAACACCTGGCCGATGAGGTGTGGCCTGCCAACGAGCGCATTGCCTTCTGTTATATGGAACGCAAAAGCTTGCAGCAAGATAAAAATGATCCAGATGCACCGAATTGTCACGCCAAGGATGGCAATCCCTTTGGTCCATTCTGGGATACATATAGCATTGATTTTGTGGGCTCGGAGTTTTATGGGCCGCTGCATTTCGATGTGCGTCACAGCTCGATAGCAACAAAATGGCAAGAGAACTATAAAGCTGACAAGTGGCCCGTTTTAGCGTTCACCGGCGCACCGGCCAGCTTTCCCGTGCAGCTCGAGAATCGTGAATTGCAAAGGTACTTAGTATGGAGTCCGAAGTATCGAGAAGCCGCTCGAGAATTTATACGTACGGTTCTTCCCCGTGGCGCATTTATTGGACTGCATTTGCGAAATGGCATCGATTGGGTGCGTGCCTGTGAGCATATTAAGGATAGCCAGCAGCTCTTCGCATCGCCTCAATGTCTTGGCTATAAGAATGAACGTGGTGAGCTCTACCAAGAGCTCTGTATGCCCACCAAGGAGTCAATTATCAGACAGCTAAAGCGAACGATTAAAAATGTGCGTCAATTGCAGCCGAAGAATGAGGTGAAGTCCGTGTTTGTGGCATCCGATGCGAACCATATGATATCTGAGCTGACGAATGCGCTCTCTCGTATGGATATCAGCGTACATAAGCTGCAAGAGGACGATCCTTATTTGGATTTGGCCATACTAGGACAATCGAATCACTTCATAGGCAACTGCATTTCTTCGTATAGTGCATTTGTTAAACGGGAAAGGGATACGCACGGATTTCCATCGTATTTTTGGTCGTTTCCAAAAGAAAAGGAACGTCAGCAAACGAAGCCCCATGAGGAGCTGTAAATGCCGTGACAATTTTTGACGAGTCTCTCAAACAAAGAAGGATATATGCATATATATCGCCAGCATTTAGTGTTAAGCTAGAAAGTATTCAGAACATTTCAATACAAATTCCATTAAATTAATTTGTATACGTTTCTACCTTTTGTCGGACAATTTTCAGACTACTCACGTATAAGCTACAATTAGTCTATGATTTTGATTTTACTTAGAAATTTATTCAAGCTTGCTTTTTCACGCATTCCTCAAAATAATTTATATCATGTAAAACTTTATACCAGCGTATTTTATTTGATCTTGGATGTCAGTTGTCTCTAATGTATCAGCTTTTGCGAGCGTGCCAGATCCAATTGTGCAGATGATACATTTGTTAATCCCTCGCGTACAGAGCTGAGGTTCTCCTTCCAGGCCTGCAACAGATCGCGCAGCTGTTCCCACTGTGGTGCACCAAAGGTGCGATGCATTGTCGATGAGATGTGCACCTTACGATTGGCCTGATCGAGACGTGCACGCACCAGCTTTGTCTTCAACACTTCTATGACAAACGGCTCCACTTCATCCTCGTTGATTTGCAATTCCTTGGTCAGTGTGTCGAATGTCATCTCGGGGTAGCTTTCGGCCAGTTGCATGAATGTCAACAGCCGCATTTTCTTCATATTCTGCTCGTGATTCAAGCCTTGGGAGTTGACAAACTCCTTGTGATCCTCATAGAACTGCACATAAGAGGGCAGCTTGTCCGAGACAAAGATGGACAGCAAATCGTGTATTAGATCACCTTCCAAAAAGCGAACAGGCTTCAGCGATAGCAAGGGGTCGAGCAGGAATGTATTGGGATCGGCCAGCGCAGTAACAATGCACTTCATAGCATCCTCACGAGCAACGCACGCGTTGTCTGCCGTATATGTGCCCAATAGCTCAATCATCACCTTTGAGGACAGCTCCAAGTTGGTATCCTTGGTCACGTCGTGCAATAGACGATACAACTTTTGCATCTGCTCACTGGAAGGCGGGCAGTTAGCGAACTGCGACTTCAATTGATCGACGCCAGTGAAGACTTCCAGCACCTGATCACACTGCTTGGCCACTTGCACCAAATGATAGTAGACATGGTAGCGCAAGGGGGATGCTGTGTCCAGATTGTTGAATAATCGCCAAAGCGATTGCAGGCAGACTTTCGCCAGCGGCTGGTTGGGCGCCTTAGTCATCTTTTCGCAATAGGCCAGCACAATGTTCTCACCACGATCCAGCGGTATCTAAAGGTGGAATCTTTAGTGATATATATTCACAATCAGTAACATACTTCATACATACCGTTATCATAATGGATACAATGCTATTTAGTATGCCATCAATTTGGGCTGGTTCGCCGTCTTTGAAGCAAACTTCACATACACCAATTATTTTGTGCAAATCATCCTCGACGCCTTTGTTCGATTTCTCCGATGAGATTTCTGCACCAAGCTTCTTAAAATACTTGCGCAGCTCTTGCACCTGTAGGGAAGACAAAAAACAAATTCATTTTAATTTATATATTTATTAGATTTGTTTTTGCACATAACCTCACTTAAGAGGGTAGCGCCGCATATACAACACGTTAAAGTATAATTGAAACTTTACCTGTTCGTCTAAAGACAGGTCTATAAACACCGGATGCGAAGTCATCGTTTTTCAGAATGCTGAATTATTTATTTTTAGCAGAAGAATAAACAATTTTGCACGCACACGTCGTCGTCGTCGCTGAATTGACAACTCGAAAGGAAAAGGCAAAACAATAATAGAGTTGCCACACTGTGCAAAAATAATCGATAAGATAGGCAATAACGATAATTGAATTTCGAGATATTTGTTAATTTACCGGGCTGAAAATGGAAGACTTGGACGACGACTCGTTTGACGATGTTTTGGCTTGCATGGATATACCCCCAGCGCCAAAGCAAACTAAAATACAACCGGCGACTGAGACAGCAACTACTAGCAGTTCCACCGCTACTACCAGTACCGGAACAGTTAAAGCAGCACCATCAAATCCTCACAGCGTTTTAGTGCACACCAAGCAACGCGGTAATCCAATTCTAAAATCCATTTTAAATGTGCCTCTGGAGTATAGGGATGATATAATACCAGACTATGTGGTGGGTCGCACTGCCTGCATACTGTTCCTATCGCTTAAATATCACAATCTCAACCCGGATTACATATGCCAACGTCTTAAAGCCCTGGGCAAATTATATGAGCTGCGCGTACTGCTCGTCCAGGTGGACACACCGGAGCCCCATAATGCGCTTAAAAGTTTAACGCGCATTTCCCTGTTAGCCGATTTAACAATGATGTTGGCCTGGAATGCCGACGAGGCGGGCAAAATAATAGAAACTTACAAGCAATTCGAAAAACGCTCCCCAGACTTGATTATGGAGCGTGTGGAGTCCAATCCGCATCAGAAGGTGTGTAACGCTCTTAGGGTCTTTAAAATGTTCTTAATATTTCATATACTTTATAGCTTGTAGCGGCTTTGACCAATATTAAGCCGGTGAACAAAACAGATGCTGTGACCTTGCTGCAGATCTTTGGCAATCTTGAGAATCTTATCAATGCCAGCGAGGAGCGCCTATCGCAGGTCATGGGCTTGGGGCCGCGCAAGGCCAAAAAATTGTACAAAACACTGCATGAACCATTTCTTAGCAAATAGGCCAAGTTATTTATTACAATATATCCATTACTAATATTATACACAAAGACCTTAGTACTATTCCTGCAGCTTCCATATTTTAATGGTGCCGTCGTCGCTGCAGGAGATTAGCTGCCCGACATTTACCGGATTCCACTCAACGGCATTCACATCCTGTTCATGGGCACTCTCCTCGGAAGTTAACAGTTCAAAGCTGGGTGCATCTCGCTTTGAATCGCTGCTCTCTTTAAAAATGCGTATAGCGTCATCCCCGCACGCGCTGGCTATTAGGCCCGTCAGCTTGCACCAGGACACATCGTAGATGGCACGTGTGTGCAGGCCGGACAGGGTGCACACACACTTCCACACAGTCGTCTTATCGGGTGTTGCAATGCCGGCCTCATTGCCTGGATGATAGGCACGCCAGATCTTAAGTGTTGCATCATCGCTGCAGGATACCAAACGCTCGCCATCGGCGTCGAAGTCAATGCTCCAAACTGTACTCGTATGCGAGCTGAGCGTAGCCGTACAATCCCAATCACTGTCTAGTGCACTCTCGGCATACATTTTGATTGTGTTATCATACGAAGCCGAGGCAAGGATTTCCTTTGTCGGATGCCACACTACACGCTTTACATCCTGCGAGTGGGCATTAAGTACTGCGGCGCATTCGAATTCATCATCGCCAGCCACTTCCCAGATCCACACAGATTTATCACGTGAACAAGTTGCCAATAGACCACCACTGCGTGACCAACTGACACTTTTCACCTCGTTTTCGTGTCCCTCCAGCGTCGCAGTGCATTCGTGTTTGGACCAAATGGCTGTGGTTGCATCAAAGCTAGCCGACGCCAGATACTCACCACACGGAGACCACCGTACCTCACGTATGGTACGCTTATGTCCATCCGATAGTATCGTCTTCGTTGTCCATGTATTCCCAGATAGGGACCAAATCCTGATGGCTTTGTCTTCGCCACAAGAAGCGAAACTGTTTCCCTTTGGATGCCATGCAACGCCCCAAATACGGCCTTTATGACCTTGCAGCGTATGCTCTAGAATAAGGCGACCCATAATACGATTCTTCTATATATATTTGATTATATATGATGGATTAATTGATAACGCTGCATGCGTACAGGTCCAAAAAACAGATGTTGGTCAACTGTTCAGTTTCGAACTAGTTCGATCGCTATTAGTATAAACAACAATTGAACTTCTAAGCTGGCAACGCTAATCTCTTATCACCGAACCCTATCGATAGTTGCAACAAACCGATACTAATTTGCACTGAACTGTAGGAAAACAGCCTGTGCAGTTAAAACATTTTTTTCTAAGGCGAATAAAACTCAAAAAAGAACTAAACTGGCTTAGTAATTATACTAGGCAGCTAAGTTAACGGTGCCCAGTGTACCCAAACAAAACAAGAGCATTGTGAATAGACGCGAAACCATTTTTCATTTGCTGATAAGAAAATGAACGGTCTAATTGTATTCAATAGCGCTAACGATGTTGCTTATCAGAATTTAAATGGACCTCTCACAGAAAAAATATGCAGCATTGCAATAGCGCAAGGTCTGCTCCCCACTCCTGGGGCTCCACTGGACAGCAATGTACTGCTGCAGATATTCAGCCCGATTATTAGCTCCCAGCGAATTATGCACTGTCAATTTGATAATGCATACGCAAGTTTTCAATGCGAAAATGGCTTCAATTTGACCTTTGGCGAGCTGTTGGGATTTACATTCTTGAAAATTGGCCAAGTTGAGATTGAGCAATTGATGCGACAACTGGGAGTGGCTATGACGTTAACCCGTTACTGTTATGGTGCCAATTTATTTGGCTCACAGGCAGGCGCAATGCAACAGGAGTTGCTGACGCAGTGCATCAATTGTTATGAATCGCAGCTATGGCAGGAGGATCAGCAAGAACAACAGGCCTATTTGCTGGAGGCATTGCCCAAGTTGCTTATCAACCCGGAATTAAAGCGAACAGTGCATGTCACATTGGACGCATTGTTGGAGCAGCTGCGTCAAACTGGAGGACAGCAACGCACACACGCTCTACTGCTCGTTTCCAACAAGCTGGCGGCTTTGAATAGCACACGCCAAGCGCTGCCCCTGGCACCGGCTGATCTACTCTTCCTGGCCATTCTATCCCGTGCACTACAATCCCAGAGATCTCAACGAGCTGTAGCTGTTTTTCTGCAAGGCGTCACCCACGATGTCAATTCGGGCTGTGTGCCCTGCATTGTGCATATATCCCGTCTGCATGGTCATCAGGTGTTACTGCAGCTCATCGAGTACGGCCACATGCCCTTGACCAGCTCCATCTATGACACTTTCTTTGTACTCCAGAAGATTGTCGCTGTGCAGCAGCAGGGCGATGCCGATGCACTGAAGCCCGCCTACGAGAGTCTCGAATCTTTTGTCAGCCAAACTTTGACGGCGCTCAAGCGACATCTGAAGCAAAAGCACGACGATTTGGAGAGCTGTGTGAAGAAGTTTACAGCCCGTTGGGAGAATCTACGAAAAATGTATGTGGAGTTCTTCAAGAGTTACGAGCGTGAGCTGCTTGTACGCATCGAATCCAATCTCCCAGCCTTTGTGGAGGAGCTCAAGCAATTGTTCACGCTATCCTTGGCCAGTTGCGATATTGCCAGCAATCAGCAACTGGATCAACTAGCCGAATCGGCATCTGTTGTCGAGGCAAAGCTCTTGGAATTCGCCGAATTTCTTGCGGTTAAAGCTGCGCGTAATATCTCTATTGATGCGTATTTGGAAGACTTTCCTGGTCTGGTGCATTTCATGTACATAAATCGCAGCTCGGGGCAAATGCTGGCGCCTGACTTACGACAGGGGCAGCCACAGCTGTTGCCTAAATCCAAGCTCTGGCATATGGTGGAGTTTACGCGCAACTATTTGAAGAAGGGTCAAACAACAGTCATGTGGAAGGATCGTACATTTCATTACTCGTATTTCCTGTGGTTCGAGGATCTATCGGGCGGCATATTGAAATGTTCCTTCGACTTACAGCAACATTTCCTCACCACCGGCTTTGGCAATGGCAACGGAAATGGAAATGGAGCTCATAAATCGCCCCCAGAGCCCGGTTGCTTGCCCATGGATTACTACAGCGAGCTGGCCGAGCTCTGTTTCCCAAAGCTGGCTGGCGGCAAGGTGCGCGTCTATGAATTGTTTTGCATTCACTTGGGCCTCGTGACGGCCACCTGTGCCGTGGAGCATGCCCGCCGCCTGGTAGCCACCATCAGCGATGTCGTTGGCGAGGGAGCGTTCTAGATTTAGTTACACTCGATGTAAATTAGGAACTATTATATTTATAAACCTATTTATTCTATAGTCTATGTAAGTTATTTTATGTATAATTTTAAGCTATATTTATTACTGTGACATTCCAAAGACAAAAAAAAAGACACTCGAAATGTTTCAATATCTGTTGTGAAACAAACGATCAGATCAGATGATATTCTATATTAAATCAATGCAATTTATATTGGTTTCTTTAAATTCTTTTCGCCTTGAATGTTAAAAGTAAAGTAAATGTGCAATAAAGCTGAAAACAATATGCAATATTAAATAAATATAAATATAAATAAATAGCTAAAAACGTACCAAGTATAGTTAACCTTAAATGGATATTCGTTGTGACCATAACGCTGGCTTTTCTGGTGCACAATGCTGCGACTTCCCAATCAGAGCAGTCTTATAAATAATATAAACAACTAGTAATTATTGAAACAAATAGTTTATTATATAACAACATTATTTATTGCGTCGCCGTTGCCGTCGCCTCTGTTTGCATCTGCTGCCATTTCTCCTCGAAGAAGGATTTGCGTGCCGTCAGCGGCATTGATTTCTGGCGCAGCATATAGTTTTCGTTGCCCATAGCCGTATAGGTATCATCTCCAATGAGATTTCGTAGTGCAATATTTTTCTTTAGATGCTTATCGTAATACCTAATGCCGGCGGCTACAAATTCTGGTCCAAGCGTGGCAAGTTGTTTGTCAATCGTCGCATCGTCGGCTACCTGGTTGAAGTCCTTCATAAATGACCAACTGCCCAAACCAAATAAGCCCAGAATGCTGTACATAACAAAGCGGATCTGCGAAGGCAAAATCAAAGAATTAATAAAAATATTATGAGCCAAGCCCTAAACAACTTACACTGCCATGGCGCGCAAACAACTTAAGACGTAGATTCAAAAAGTGTCCAGCCGTATAGACCATGAAGAAGTTTAAGCTGGGGAAAATGGAGTTCAGAAGAACGCGATGCGTTTGCAGTTGGAGAATTGCTTTGCACAGTCCAAAAACCTGCTCATCCTCGGTCAACACAATTGCTTGCTCTAACAATTTACCACTCTCCGAGCTCCAATCGATTTGACGATCTCGAAAGCGTATGTCCGCGCGCTTGATCTCTCCAATACTGTTATAGCCGTAATTTACGGGTATTCCCAAAATAGCACCAAAGCGAAATTTCGTTGTGCCTGCTTGAAACAGATCGAAACCGAACACGGTAAATGGTTTGACAAACTGCCGTTCATGCTTTTCCAATTGCAGTTTATCCATTGCCTGTTCTATACGTTGCAGAACTGCTTGCGGCACCTCACGTTCAATGCCATTTCTATATGAATAAGAAGAAAAATTGTTGAGCATGTGCCCCATGCTAGATTCACTTGCTCACCCACTGATAGCATTGCACAAAGTCGCGGTAATATTTCAGTCCAAATGTGTGTGGCACAAAGTTGGCCAAAAATAGACCGACTGTGGTTGTGCCTGCTGCATAGAAAACAATTTTACGTCCAGTTTCTGTCTTAAAAAAGGAGAAAACTCCTCCGGCGGGTTTCTTTTGCATGTTTGCCTGTTTTGTAACCACAACGTATCGACCAACCGCCACTGGAATTCATCGAAGTAGAAATGATACTTATAAATGAGATACTTATCGATTATTTGTGTAATGTTCCGATATCTATTGGCGTAGTCCTCGAATAATAGTTTAATTAGTGTTTACTGTTCTTTTTTATTCACGTTACTCGACTTAAGATCAATTACAACTACATTATTTTTCGCAGCTTTGAGCCGCCACCAACGTCCCAAGCGATGTTCCTGACCAACAGCCACATAAAGCTTGCTGCCATCCGCATTGAAAGTGAGGGCATTTATGAAGCCAGTTATTGGTATGCTTAGAATCTGTTGAATTTTACGAGCATTTGGATTGCTTTGCCATAGTCGGACGCAGCCGTCGCAAGAACCTAAAATACAAAAAATAAAGAATTATTTTGAATTCCGATAAATATAAGTCCGCAGTTGCACCTGTTGCTACTAAATCTGTATTGACGACTACGGCAATCGCTGTTATCCAGTTAGCTACATCATTGTCGCCCTTGCCATGAGCCAATTGCGTTGTACTAATTGGTTTCTTCTTCAATGCACTCCACAGACTAACCGCACTGTCGTAATCATAAATAAAATAGGCGTAAGTAAAACGTTCTCTCTTTGGCTAAAATTGTATACTTACCCATCTACTCCGCCGGATACAAAATGTTCATCATTAATAAATTTAACGCACTCAATGCCATCCTTGTGCCCATTATAAATCAATTGCGACTCTTCTGTAATCTTCCAAATACGCAAAGAGCAATCCGAGCCGCCTGCAGTTATGGCCCGTTCCCGACTCAATGCATCAATGCTAGTAACAGCAGTTTGATGACCAAATCTGTAATGAAATGTTATTAGACAAAACTTTAAATTAGTTATAAATCACTTACAAGCTCTCAACGTATGCCATTTCATCCACTGACCAGATCTTAACGGAACGATCTTTTGCAGCAGAGTAAAGCTCGTGGGTGCCTTTGCGAAAGACGAGGCCCGTGACATTATCTCGATGACCTTTAAACGTTTGCATGTGCTTCATCTTCTGTGGGCACCAGATTTGTATATTAACTCCGCCCTCAGCTAATGCCATGTACTTCATGTCGCTTGACAGGCAAATGGCTATAACATGTGATCTCCGTTTCTTCGTGGTTTCGGGCTCCTCACGATGCGGCAGTACATCACCTTTCTCTAACACTTTACCACTCTCCGTGCACCATTTGAGCACATATTGCGACTTCGCCCCCGTGTACAGGTGCTTCCCATCCGCACTAAGGAAGAGCGCGCAGATTGGACTGTGGTGAAGCTTGTGCTTTAGTACATTTTTAATTGTACATGATTTAAGATCGGCGGCAATCGTGCGTCGCAAACGCCCCACACTATCCAAATACTCCGTTTGCAGGCGTTGTTCTACACTCTGGCTTAATTCTTGTTGCTCGGCACGTTCCGCTTCTTGTTTTTCAATCTCCGCTAGATATTCTTTCGCCAGTCTCAAGCGTTTATCCTGGGCCGTTTCTTGTTCTTCATCTTCGTCGGCGGAAAATGCCAAGGTATTTCCATTATATTCTTCATCATCATCACTTGCAATCTCCTCATCGTCTACCTTGGCTCGACGTTGCTTTTTTGGCCCAGGAACTGCATTTTGTGTTTTCTTGCCCGGTTTGACGTTGCTTTTTGCTTTTGTTGCATTAAGCTGAAATTATTTTTATTATTTACTACATTCAATGTATGTATATCCTCATTTTCCTTTTATAGCTTACTTTTCGCTTTTTGTTGGCAGCCACTTTGGCAGCGCCTGGTTTCAGAAAAAACGATGAGGACATGTTATAAACTATATATTCTAAAATAAAATGTAAACGCTAAATGGCCCCACGTGCATAGTACAGCGCACTTGGTATTTTTTAGTCCATATTGGACGCAACAGCTGACTGTCACGTGTAAAAAGGTGATGGCTATGTCATCATGTACCGATTTGGTTTCATAGCACTAATCTAAACACGCGCTCTTTGCTTCGATTTAAATTAAAAATGTATCCCTTGGTGAATGGTTAACATTAATTTAATAAAAGGGAATTTGTTTTAAAAAATAAATGGAATTCATTAGCTTAATTTTGTATCCAATTTGAATAATTTAAAAAAAGAAATAAAACCACAGTTTTTTTTTATTGTTATTGCCTGTTTATTGAAATAACTAAGTACTTTAAACATAATTAAAAATATATATTGATTTTTATATAAAAATGAATTAAATCAAAATTGGGTTGAATTCAGTATTCATTTATTGTTTCAAATTCAGCAAACGCACATTACATGAATAATAATGAGGGACCAAGCTCTGATTTGTATAATTGAATAAATATTTTGACCCGAGTGTTTAAAAATTATCACAAATTATGTATACGTTCTCTTATAGTTGTGTGTAAAAATTTTCTTTTTATTTTGCATTTATGTATCGTTGTAAAAATAAATTAAGTGCTGCGCGCTCTGTATAGGTTGATGTAAGTGGGAGGGGGTTTCGTACGTGTTGGGGATGCCTATAGAGAACCGCAAAAAGATGCGCCTATATTGGCGCCTCTGTAAATTGCCTAAAACTAAGTAACGCTCTAAATTAAAATTGTAAGATTGCTAATTGTATAGAAAGACACACATGAAGTGAGATTAGGAATAATATGCATGTGCCCTATCACGCTCTCTTCCTTTCTACATGATCGAGCACAGGCCCGAAGTTTCGATGCCATTTTGAACTTTCTTCGTTTTCTTCAGCGTCACCTGTCGCAGCGCCGGCTTCAGTTCGATCACAGGCTCCGGCTCAGCTTCGACTGCAGCGGATGGTGGTGGGGTATTCGACCTTTGAATTGCCGTTCCCAAACCGCTGACAGTTGCTGGCTGGGATGCTGCTGATGCCGCCGCTGCTGTTGTTGCTGCTGCCGCAGGCACACGCGAACTGTTGCTGCTGTTGTTGTTGCTGTTGCTGCTGCTGCTGCTGCCGTAGCTGCTTCCAATTACGGAAATGCTACTTATGTTGGCAGGCGGCGCATTTGTGCTGCTGTTGCTGCTGCTGCTGCTGGTGGCAATCTTCGGAACAAACGTGTTGCCTCCACACAGCACAGGAATAGTGGAAATTGTTTGAATGGAATTTTGCTGCTGCTGGTGCTGCTGTTGTTGTTGTTGCTGATCGGCATTTCCAGTGGCGCCAATGACGCTTATAGCCGACACTTGAGAGTCCGTTGTTGTTGTTGTTGAGGCACTATTATGACTATTACTACTTGTATTCTTAGTGATATTTATTTTTATTTTATTAACTATGCTAGCCAAAGGTAACGCCGGTGCCGGCCCCGCTGCACTTAAATTATGCGTCTCCTGCGGATTCTCACCATTAAAATCGGCCTCGCTGCTGGCTGCTGCAGCAACTGGCTCCAGTTCCAGCTCATCGTCATTGGCTGGCAATGAGAGAGATGTTACCGAGGCTGGACGCTCCAGCGTAGCTGGCGATGCAGTCGAATCGATGGTATGGGTTAATGTTTCTAATCGAGAGATATCGGTTGAGATGATATACATAGATATATATATATAGAGATAGATGGCTACTTACCGCTACTTAATATGGATATCTCATCTTCTGGCAGCGGCAGCAATTGTACTACTGTGCCCACATCCTCAAAGCCATCATCATCCTCTTCGTCGTCATCCTTCGGCTCTTCTTTGATTTTCACATTGAGCATCGGCACTGGCTCCTTTTCTACATAGTTGTCCAGATCGGTAAAGGGAATGTTTGGCTCCTGTATTTCCACATCTGATTCATTGGCGTTCTCTGACACTTTTTGATGATGCTCGTTATGAAGCTGCTGCTCATTCGATTGCTGCTGTTGTTTATCTTCCTGTTGGCTGCTTGTTGGCTTCTCCTTGGACAGCTCTGTCTCTGGTTCGGTTGCCGTAGCGACGGGCACATATTCATCATCGTCGTCATCGACAATCTCTGTAACACTAGGTTCCTCATTGGGCAGCACAATGACATCATCATCATCATCGTCGGCCAGCACCGTGCTGGATGTCTTCTTGACATCATCTAAGGATATGATTAGCACTATTAGTTACTTTAATGAACTTGCTTAGACATTCATTTGTGCTTACCCGATTCATCTTCCAGCTTGATCAGCGTATCCATGGCGTTGTCATCGCTAGCATTTAGCATATCCACATCTTCATTTGCTGTCGTGTCGTTATCAACAACTGGAGGTGGATTGAGCGAAGCTTTGTAGTCCTCGTAGCATAGTGGATGATAGATCTTGTCGTCTACGCGTATAGCTGAGCGTAGATGCCATTCCTCCAGCTCTTCGTTGTAGAACTGCTCGAATTTCTCGTGGCACATGTCACAGCCGCGATCCACATCTGTCGGACCGGCTGCACAGCTGGGAACAGGTGAATTGAGCGAACGTTGCTGGGACACCTCATCGATGGCATCAGGTCCCAATTGTTGGCCCTGAGATTCGAGGAAATTCCTTTCTCGTTCTTCCACATCTTCAATTTCCTCGTATTGCTTCCAATCATTGAGATCATAGTACCAACGCCTCGACGTTGGCTTGCGTGTCGAATCGCGTTCCCTTCGATTCTGACGGAAATGCCAATCCAAATGCTGACTATACTTGATGGTCTGCTCCGGTGGGAAGCGCACGCCACAGCTGCTGCACTGCATGCCCAAATACAGGGTGGCTATCACGGCCGCCTGACGTGTCTTAATTGTCTCTGGCTTCGTCAGATCAATGCGCTTGATGGGCTCGAGAGGTGCGACTGCAGGCACAGTTGCGGCAGGTGTTGCAGCTACAACAGGCGCCACAGTTGCTGCTGGTGCTACAGTTGTTGCTGTCGCCTCTTTGCTAGAGTTGGAATTCGTATCCAAAGCAGGTACGTTGACTGTGCTGCTGTTGCTGGTGGTACCAGCAATTATGCCCGACGAGACGAGCTTCTGGAAGAGCTCGTCAATGTTGAGATTGCTTAGAGCAGCTGCTGCTGCCTCAGGCAAAGGAACAACAGGAGCAGTATTTGTTGGCACGCCGACAGCTGCAACAGCTGCTGGCTGCTCGGGCGTTGCTACTGCGGCGGCTGGTACAGTTGGCAACCCAGCCACTGGCAGTGGCGGCGGTTGTGGTGGTTCCGCTGGAGCCTCAGTCTTAATGTATACCATATCTTGAACGTGGGTCTTGCCCGCCTGCACGCCCTTGGGCAGCGTGCCAAAGCGTATGAAGCAATTGCGTCCTCCATTCAATTTCATGCTCTTAGGCAGTCCCCCATATTCCAGCTTCTGCAGCTGTCCATCTAGCAATGCATAAAGGAAACTATCCACGAATTGGAGCGAGTGTTGCTCGGCGCCCAAATGGAACGTCTGCTGGCGGCCATCGAGAAACAGCGGCACAATTGTGTGTGCATCGACAATCATGTTGATTTTGCCCACAACTAAATCTCGACGCACACGACCGATGTCCACATTTGGCGGCGGTCCCTCCGCCTTCAGCACATGCAACTTATTGCCGATGGGCAGGGAAACGGGCGGTCCACCAAAGTAGATCTCATACCAATGATCATCGATGTACAGCTCCCGAGAGGGGTGTCCGAAACGAATGCGATGCAGCTGCCCATCCAACTGAAAGGGTTTGTAGTC